GATGGAATTGAAAAAATGGAGAAAAAAGGTTACTTAACAAGAAACAAGCTCGTAGTGAATACTATTTATCTCACCCTGCCTCAGTTCGCTCAATTCCCCTTCCCTCCCAAACCCGTCCTCCAGGTCCTTGATTTCTCAACTTATCGATATTTCCAATTGCTCAACGTTTAAATCAGTTTGCTCATATGTGCAAGGACTCCCTTCCCACCATTCACATCCCTGCATATGCAGAGTCTCATAGAAAGAAAGAGGATCCCATAGCCACGCCAGCTGCTGCAGCAGCAAGGGGGGTGCAAAGAAAGAGTATGTGCCCAACTATTTCCACCCTTTCTCAACACGCAAAACGTTGCTGGTTTCTTCGTGTACACTATCCATAACGTTCCATGATTCCAGGTAAAATTCGTGTGCTCGATTTAGCAAAGTACTCTCTTCCCACCACTCACATCCTTGAACATGCAGAGTCACATATGAAGGGAGTAGATACGGAAGCAGCAAAGGAAGCCGCAGCAGGAGCATCAACAGCAACAAGTGAGGGGCAAAAAGGAAGTAGGTTATTGTTGCGATGCCTTTAAATCCTACTCAATTCTACCTGTGCTCTGCGCCGCTCACACTTTAGCTGATTCACCCTATTTTCCATATTCTCCTGTTACCGTTTCCTGTTATTCTAGGTCAAATCTGAATGCTCAGTTTTGATAAGTACCCTCTTCCCACTGATCCAAAACCCATGACACGCAGGGAAAAATGACCCAGAAGCAATAGCAGCAGCCATTGCAGCAGCAGCAGGAGTAGCAGCAAAAGCAGGATCAGATTGGGTGGTGGATGGAGGTGTGGTGGTGGAGATGGATGCAGCACGGCCACAGGTGTGCTAAGAGTACTCCCTGGACGTGCTGGCAAAGGCAACAGCGGAGTGGGCGGAGAGGAACAGGATTGGCAGCGGCAGCTTTGGTGATGTGTATAAGGGCGTGTCTCCCCACAACCGCACTCAAGTGTGGGCTGTCAAACGAGCCAGAGTGCTCACCAATGACTTTCTCACAGAGGTACAGTCGAGGCAATTGTTGTTGCTTTTGTTGTTGTAAGGGTTTTGTTCCAGATTTTCAACTATTTCTTTCTGTCCAACTCTACGCCTGCATATTGTTTGTCTGGAATGAGCTCGTCTGTCACTCCAAACCTAGTGAAAAAACAGGAGCTGGGAGACCGTGCACCATGATTCAGGGTTCTGATAATCTGAATGTCATTTTTCTGTTATGCTTCGAAATGTTCTATGATGTTCATGTTGTGCCTTCCCTCCCGCAGGTGAAGGAGATGGCCAGCAAGCACCATCCCCATCTTGTGCGGCTGCTTGGATACTGTATGGATATGAACACGACCACAAGACACATAGAGCAGATCTTGGTCTATGAGTACATGGCGAACAACGATCTTGAGAGCTGGGTCGGACCGGGTGTCGCCCATCCTCTTTCCCTGCGCCAGCGACTGGATGTTATGATCGGAGTGGCAAAAGGGCTACAGTATCTTCATGACTTTGGCATCGTGCATCGAGACATCAAGCCAGCCAACATTCTCCTCAATGCGAAGATGCAGGCATGTTCAATATTGCATCATCATTTCACTTGTTTCCCAGAGTCTGTTTGTTAGTTCTTGTTTGCAACTTCCTAGTCATGCCTTCCTCTATTGTGATGCCACTTTGTTTTGTTTTGCCATGAAACTCCTTATCCAATGCACTGCATTGTTCCGTTGCTTTTAATGTGCAGGCCAAAATTGCAGACTTTGGTCTTGTGAAGCTGAGTGGAGGCACCTGCATGGGCACCTCAGTGGCTGCCACTCGAGTGATGGGCACACCGGGCTATGTGGACCCCGCCTACTTCAAGACACAAAAAGCCACTCCAACTGCTGACGTGCACAGGTGTGTTGGTTGGCATGGTTCATAACGCATATGTATGAGCCGTGCACGCACGAAGAAAGAACTATTGGGTGAGAACCAATAAGCAACAAGAGGAAGAGACCCTCTGCTTGTTTTAAACCTCATTTTCCTGTCATGGGCAGCTTTGGAGTGGTGATGCTGGTGGTCGTCACGGCACGCAAGGCTGTTTATATGACAGAGGACAGTCAGATCAACCTCAAGCAATGGGTGAGTCACAGACACGTGAATCAACAGCTCCCATATCGTAGAAGTGGTTACTGAACTTCCTCAGCGTTTCGTCATCATTCATCAGACTATAAGTTGTAGCGCCAACAGCCAAACGATCTAATGGCACCACATGATCACATCGCTGTGGTCTTTCTCCCCAAGCAGGTGGCGCCATTGGTGGCATCCAGCAACGTGGCAGCATTCAAGGACCCTCGCTTGGATGCCCCAGACGACTTTGTGTTGCGCATGGCTCGTCTTGCGCTCGCCTGCACTGCCATGCCCACTGCCTCCCGCCCCTCCATGGCCCGGATATTGGGGGATCTGCTGGCCATGAAGGACGAGATCTTGGGGGCTGAGGTGCACAGAGCTGCACGTCGAATTGACAGGGAGATTGGCAGCTCAGCTGATTCGGTGGACTTTGATGTCGAAATGGCTCGCGTGGAACAGATGGATGTGCAAGGCAGTTACTCTACTGTGTAATATGCTCTTTAAATTGCTCCAAGACATTATGAAAATACAAGGGCTGAGTCACTTTTCGGCAGCTATTGTTATTCACAGTACTTGACAGCCTAGGGTCCTTTGAAAAAGAAGTGTGCAGTTTTGTTGCTTAAAGACACATCAAGACTCTTTAACGAGATGAATGGCATGGGTACTGACACACAATGGGAGGCGGGACGTGCTGGTGGGAGGTGCAAATGAGGTGGAGATATCTAACATGTGAGGGGGGACATGGAGTGCTCGAGTTCAGCTGCAGATCTTGGCGATTTTCTTCTGCACCTGCGATTGGCACATCCCCATTTCACCCACCACCCGCTAAACCTTATGCAGCGCCCACAGTGTCCCCACGGGCTCCTCTCTTCTCGCCTCTATTCCCAGCTGGGAGAGAGTAGGTGGGTGGGGGCAAGTGGAAAAAAGGGCTCATCGAACCAACCTAAATGACGGACTGACGGCGGAATCTACTAGGCGGTGGGCCAATGGTGGCGTATGGAAAAGGATAAACAAAGCAGATAAGAAACTAATGTATGGCTTGACGTGTGGGCTACGGAATCAGGAAGAAAAACTGAGACGAAACGGCAACGAAGGAGTGAAGTTGGAGGTATAAATGATTAAGAGGGGAGAATATGTTTGACGGGAGGGAAATTGGGGTTGGGACCATGGTATGGTCCACAAGGCACCATTTTCGGACTTCGAGAGCGTTCGACGTAGATGGGTTGGTTGCGTGTGAGACTTGACGTGAAACAAGGTGCAAGGAAGATAGCTTATGGGACATGTTTTTGTTACTAATCTTACTAGTGCTTGTGTTGCATGTTTGCCATTTGAAACACAACCTTTTGGCTCCTGTGGCCTCCCTGTTGCTGCTCATCTGCGTGTTTGTTTGAAGCTACCCTTCAAATAATGAGTGGATTTTGGAGGCTCTTGAAGTAGGCGATAATACTAATGAACCTGGCAGTGCGAGGCAGCACTGCTGCCAGAGGAGTGGATTCTAAATATTGCCGTAGAAAGATAAGAGCACTCGGCATGTTTTTAATGGATCTGTGACAAATCCATAGTAGAGAACTGTTTCCAGCAGTGTTTTGGTTGGACGTGTAGTTTGAAGGCCGAAACAGCACTGAGGTTCATCAAGACGTTGGCAGAAGGTGTGGATGGATAAGGTGGTGTAGGTGCTGCGAAGGCAACGAAGAAATGACGACGCTAACGAAAGTGCATTAGCATTCCTGCAACTATGTTACAACCACGACAACCCTCAAATAATACCACCCCATAAAATACATTAGAACTAAAAGTCCATTCTGTTAGGCAGTTCACTTCACTAATCTCTCTACCGCACTGCGTGCTAGTGCAGCAGCGTCAGGGAGAGTGAGGCAAGCAGTGCTGCTGCTGCAGCGACTGCAGCAGCTGTGGACGGCAGGGAGGTAAGCGCTGCAGCTCCCTTGGGATTAGTTTTCTCTGCAGAGGGGGGCGTGCACAGGGTCGGGTGTGTCACCAATTGGGGGGAAAGTGCGTGGTCCAGCAAGGCATGTGTGTCAGTGGCACACAGGATCTCCATCCATGCGTGTGCATGTGATCCATGCATCCATGCATGTGATCTCCATCCATGCGTGTGCATGTGATCCATGCATCCATGCATGTGATCTCCATCCATGCGTGTGCATGTGATCCATGCATCCATGCATGTGATCTCCATCCATGCGTGTGCATGTGATCCATGCATCCATGCATGTGATCTCCATCCATGCGTGTGCATGTGATCCATGCATCCATGCATGCGATCTCCATCCATGCATGCGTGCGCATGTGTGATGTGGTGCTTGCTGGGTGAAGCCCGTGCGTGGTAGGTAGCGGCACGGACACATTTGCAAAGGGTGCTGTTCAAGAAGTGTGGCACATGGTGCATGCTGCATGGTGTGTGGTGCATGGGACATAGCACACGGCGAGTCCGAGCAATATGGCTGAGCAAAAGACACGAGTTCTTGTGGAGAAATATGAAAGCTGCCATGGGGGAAACTTTGCAACACGGAAGCAACGAAGTGGCGAGAAGGGGTGGGGGGACCGGGGAGGGGAGTGCGGTGTGAGAATCCCATAGCTGGGATGCGATGTGAACACATGAGTTGATGTCGTTAAGAAAAGCGTGGGCACATATAGGTGAGAAACGTGAGGGTAACTTGGTGAGGTACCCAAAGCATAATAAGAATGGTCACAAAGTAATGCTTTGAGCGGACCGTCAATTATTGGGGGGGACCAATAATGGTTGGGATGAACCAACCAATTGAGGTCGAGTGGGTTTGGGGTGCACCCAACCAAACCTGGCGCAGAGTGTACACCCACATTGGGTGTAACACTCGTAACATTATAAACTAACATATGCTATATTCTAACATGCGGGTCGGGAGGGGGGGTACCGGATTGAATGAGGGCGGGCAGGTTGGAGTAGAAGCGCGAGCACTGGTCGGTGGGGCGCTGGGAGGGCGCCTGGTCCAGGCAGTTGCTGCTGTGGCTGGTGGGGGTATGGGGGGAGAGGGGTGGGGGAGAAAGGTGAGGGAAAAACAAGGGGCATGTGAGCTGCAGAATTTTCAATAAACCATCAAGTGTGTGTGTGTGTGTGTGTGTGTGTGTGTGTGTGTGTGTGTGTGTGCGTGTTGTGTGTGTGTGTGTGTGTGTGTGCGAGTGTTGCTTTTTTCCTCTCTACAGAAATTAGTACCTACTTTGTTGTTACCAATTATACAGCATGCTGGAGGGCACACGTGCATGCGAGAGTACACAGAGATGGTGACATCTTACTGAGTCTGTTTTTGGTTGGTGACATCTTACTGAGTCTGTTTTTGGTTGGTGACATCTTACTGAGATGCAGACTCATTACTGCGTTGGTTCCCTGAGGGATCTCAGCAGGATTCCACAGCACCTGAAGCAGCGCACCTGAAGCAGTGCACCTGAAGCAGTGCACCTGAAGCAGCGCACCTGAAGCAGCGCACCTGAAGCAGTGCACCTGAAGCAGTGCACCTGAAGCAGTGCACCTGAAGCAGTGCACCTGAAGCAGCGCACCTGAAGCAGTGCACCTGAAGCAGTGCACCTGAAGCAGTGCGCCTGAAGCAGCGCACCTGAAACAGCGCACCTGAAGCAGCGCACCTGAAGCAGCGCACCTGAAGCAGTGCACCTGAAGCAGTGCACCTGAAACAGTGCACCTGAAGCAGTGCACCTGAAGCAGTGCACCTGAAGCAGCGCACCTGAAGCAGTGCACCTGAAGAAGTGCACCTGAAGCAGTGCACCTGAAGCAGTGCACCTGAAGCAGTGCACCTGAAGCAGCGCACCTGAAGGAGTGCACCTGAAGCAGTGCACCTGAAGCAGCGCACCTGAAACAGTGCACCTGAAGCAGTGCACCTGAAGCAGTGCACCTGAAGCAGTGCACCTGAAGCAGCGCACCTGAAGCAGTGCACCTGAAGCAGTGCACCTGAAGCAGCGCACCTGAAGCAGCGCACCTGAAACAGTGCACCTGAAGCAGTGCACCTGAAACAGTGCACCTGAAGCAGTGCACCTGAAGCAGTGCACCTGAAGCAGCGCACCTGAAGCAGTGCACCTGAAGCAGTGCACCTGAAGCAGTGCACCTGAAGCAGTGCACCTGAAGCAGCGCACCTGAAGGAGTGCACCTGAAGCAGTGCACCTGAAGCAGTGCACTTGAAGCAGTGCACCTGAAGTAGTGCACCTGAAGCAGTGCACCTGAAGCAGTGCACCTGAAGTAGTGCACCTGAAGCAGTGCACCTGAAGCAGAGCAAGCAGTGCCTGTGTAGGTGGACTGGAAGGGAGTGTGCAGCACCTGAACGCAACAGAGCGGCCGGCAGGAGGCTGAGGGATCGACCCATTCAGGTAGTTGGAGGACACGTCACTGGATGCGGGAAGAGGAGGAAAGGGCGGAGGGCGGATGTGAACGGGCGGGTGGTGTTAGAGGGGAGGGCGGTGAAGGGATTGAGATGGAGCGATGGTGGATGTAGGGCAAGGCCTTACTGAACGGAGACGGGCGGGGTGAAAACTAAAAAGAGAGAAAATCGACTTGGCTTTTCAAAACCAAATAGAGTATCCACATATGCATACGCGCATGTGTGGTTGACTGACTTGATTGCTACTCACACAAAAGTCAGCTTGGTGGGGTTCCAAAGGGCAGCTGGCAGACTGCCGTATAGGCTGTTGTTGAATAGCGTGCTGCGGTGGTGTGGGGGAGTGGGGGGTGAACAAACAGGGAAAGGAACGGGGGAAAGCGGAAAAGAAAAGAGGGAAGGAAACGAGGACGGAAAAAGGGGGTGGTAACCTTTTCTACGGAGAACTGATGTGTGATAAGTAAAGTCGTTTCATGGCGAATGATGCAACAGGGGCAGCACGATAGTGGGGGACAACCGCAGTAGAAGGGAAGGGAAAGAGGACAAGAAGAGCACTGCAGAAGCAGCTGTAGCAGCCGCAGCGGTGGCGGTGGCGGCAGCAGGAGCAGCGGCAGCAGCAGCAGGCACAGACCCACGTGGACGCACATGTCAGAGATGTTGGGCAGCTGCAGCAGGAAGGCGGGGAAGGGAGAAGATTTCCAGTGATGAAGAGCGCCGTCCATGAGTCTGGCGGGGGAGTGAGCACCCCTGCACTGGCCAGGTCGCTGGGAGGAGGGGGGGGGGAAGGGGGGGAGGGGGAAGGGGGGAGAGGGGAGGAGAGGGGAGGAGAGGGGAGAGGGAGGAGGGAGTGGGAAAGATCTCCAGTGATGAGAGCGCCGTCCATGAGTCTGGCGGGGGAGTGAGCACTCCTGCACTGGCCAGGTCGCTGGGAGGAAGGAGCGGAGAGGAGGGTATGTGAGGAGAGGGGAGGTAGGATGGGTTTAGGGGGAAGAAAAAGAGGGGGTGAGAGTGTTTATGAGAGAAGGGGGTGGGGGGTGGGGTTTGTGGCAAGGTTTGTGAGTACACGAGACACAGAAAAGCATATATGGGTAGAAGCACAAGTGATGGGATGTTTATATGGGATAGCACCACAATACACGGGAATGCTTATAAGGGGTAGCAGCAGCAGGCACAGGGATGTAAGGGGTAGCAGCAGAAGACACGGGGGTGCTATGGGGTGGAAGAACAGGGGGAGGATCACAGCAGCTGCAGCAGTCCGGTGGAGAGGCAGGCATGCAAAGGCGAGCACAAGAGGACCTAAAGGTGGGAGAGGTGCAAGGAGGGGCGGCACTGATAGCAGGTGCAAGGAGGGGCGGCACTGACAGCAGGTGCAAGGAGGGGCGGCACTGACAGCAGGTGCAAGGAGGGGCGGCACTGACAGCAGGTGCAAGGAGGGGCGGCACTGACAGCAGGTGCAAGGAGGGGCGGCACTGACAGCAGGTGCAAGGAGGGGCGGCACTGACAGCAGGTGCAAGGAGGGGCGGCACTGACAGCAGGTGCAAGGAGGGGCGGCACTGACAGCAGGTGCAAGGAGGAGCGGCACTGACAGCAGGTGCAAGGAGGGGCGGCACTGACAGCAGGTGCAAGGAGGGGCGGCACTGACAGCAGGTGCAAGGAGGGGCGGCACTGACAGCAGGTGCAAGGAGGGGCGGCACTGACAGCAGGTGCAAGGAGGGGCGGCACTGACAGCAGGTGCAAGGAGGGGCGGCACTGACAGCAGGTGCAAGGAGGGGCGGCACTGACAGCAGGTGCAAGGAGGGGCGGCACTGACAGCAGGTGTAAGGAGGGGCGGCACTGACAGCAGGTGCAAGGAGGGGCGGCACTGACAGCAGGTGCAAGGAGGGGTGGCACTGACAGCAGGTGCAAGGAGGGGCGGCACTGACAGCAGGTGCAAGGAGGGGCGGCACTGACAGCAGGTGCAAGGAGGGGCGGCACTGACAGCAGGTGCAAGGAGGGGCGGCACTGACAGCAGGTGCAAGGAGGGGCGGCACTGACAGCAGGTGCAAGGAGGGGCGGCACTGACAGCAGGTGCAAGGAGGGGCGGCACTGACAGCAGGTGCAAGGAGGGGCGGCACTGACAGCAGGTGCAAGGAGGGGCGGCACTGACAGCAGGTGCAAGGAGGGGCGGCACTGACAGCAGGTGCAAGGAGGGGCGGCACTGACAGCAGGTGCAAGGAGGGGCGGCACCGACAGCAGGTGCAAGGAGGGGCGGCACTGACAGCAGGTGCAAGGAGGGGCGGCACTGACAGCAGGTGCAAGGAGGGGCGGCACCGACAGCAGGTGCAAGGAGGGGCGGCACTGACAGCAGGTGCAAGGAGGGGCGGCACTGACAGCAGGTGCAAGGAGGGGCGGCACTGACAGCAGGTGCAAGGAGGGGCGGCACTGACAGCAGGTGCAAGGAGGGGCGGCACTGACAGCAGGTGCAAGGAGGGGCGGCACTGACAGCAGGTGCAAGGAGGGGCGGCACTGACAGCAGGTGCAAGGAGGGGCGGCACTGACAGCAGGTGCAAGGAGGGGCGGCACTGACAGCAGGTGCAAGGAGGGGCGGCACTGACAGCAGGTGCAAGGAGGGGCGGCACTGACAGCAGGTGCAAGGAGGGGCGGCACTGACAGCAGGTGCAAGGAGGGGCGGCACTGACAGCAGGTGCAAGGAGGGGCGGCACTGACAGCAGGTGCAAGGAGGGGCGGCACTGACAGCAGGTGCAAGGAGGGGCGGCACTGACAGAAGGTGCAAGGAGGGGCGGCACTGACAGCAGGTGCAAGGAGGGGCGGCACTGACAGCAGGTGCAAGGAGGGGCGGCACTGACAGCAGGTGCAAGGAGGGGCGGCACTGACAGCAGGTGCAGGTTGGAGAGAGCGCTCCAGCTGTCGGGCAGGGGGCCGCTGAAGGTGTTGCTGCCCAACTCGCTGGTGAGGTGATGGGTGGATGGGGGGATGGGTGGGATGGGGGGATGGGGGAATGGGTGAACAGGGGGATGGGGGAATGGGTGATGGGGTGATGGGTAGATGGGGGATGGGTGGATGGTTGATGGGGGATGGGGTGATGAGTGATCTGGGATGGGGAATGGGGTGACGATGTTGGGTGATGGGGATGGGGGATGGGGTGACGGGATGATGGGTGATAAGGGATGGGATGATGGGATGATGGGTGATAAGAGATGGGATGATGGGTGATAAGGGATGGGATGATGGGATGATGGGTGATAACGGATGGGGAATGCGGGATGAGGTGATGGGTGATGGGGGATGGGGGATGGGAGATGGGGGATGGGATGAGGGATGGGTGATGGGGGAATGGGTGATGGGGAAATGGGTGATGGGGAAATGGGTGATGGGAAAATGGGTGATGGATGGGGATGTGTGATAGTTGATGGGGGATGGGTGATGGGGTGAGGTGGTGGGGTGGTGGGTGCCGGGTGATGGAGGGATGAGGGATGGAGGGTGGGGTAAATGGGTTGATGAGGTGATGGGGTGGGGAGGTGGGTGTGATGGGGGGGTAACGCAGACTCAAACTAGGTGCCCTACATTTCGTTCCCATCACCATCTCATAAGAATCATAATAACTTCTAAGGTGGATGAAGAATCAGGAGAGGAAAAATGGAGGGAGGAGGACAACGGGGGATGCGGAATGGATGATGGAGAGCTGATGAATGAGTATGCGTAAACGTACCGCTGCTTCAAGCATAGGGGCCGGAGAGTGGAAGCTGGACGGAGAGTCTTGTCCAGTGGTTGATACTGAATGGAAACTACTGATTTCTCTCAATTTGAACTTTGACTTAGTGCTCACAGGCTTTTTAGGGCAGTGCGTGCGGAGAGGCCTGCAGGAAAGGAGTCAGCGAGATGGTTGGAGGCGAGGGAGAGGACCTCCAGGGCTGTCAGGGTGGACAGGCCTGCGGGCAGGGCGCCGGGAATGCGGTTACCACTCAGGTCGCTGGGGAGGGAGATTGGGAGGAGGGAGCAGGGCGAGAGGCAGGGAAGGCGTGAGAGGTGAGGGTGGTAGACGCCTGAACTTGTTGAACCAACCTGGTTTCGGATTGGTCAAGTCAACTCAAGGTTCAAAATTACGGTTTTCGTAATATACGGTCCGTTTTTTACGGTGATTAAACAAAAAAACGGCCGTTTTTTTGTTAGAGAACTCTGTTCACCAAGAAAAAAAAGAGAAAAACAAGGTAAAAAACATTTTCAATCATGTCAACAAGCGCACACATGCAAGAAAGGGTCCATCCCCTTCATGCTGCTGCATTTCGGGCTCAATTTGGTCCCAATAAGTGGCCGTTTTGTTAGTTATAGAGGAAACACCTCCTGGAACCGTTTTAAACCGTTTTTTACGACCGTTTTTTACAGTACCGTTTTTTACGGTAAAATTTCAATAAAACGGTCGTTTTTTTTAACCCTGAGTCAACTAACCAGCACCACCACAGCTCATGCTTATTCTCTTCAGAAACAAGGAGTCTTCTCTTGTTTCAGTCCCTTAATAACCTCCCTCTTCCAAGTTCCAACCCACGACCTGCCCAGCCAGCAGTACCGCTCACTGACACCTTGCTGCCACTCACGGCACGACCCCACCCCCAGCAGCCCCCACCCCCAGCAGCCCCCACCCCCAGCAGCCCCTACCCTCAACAGCCCAGCCAGGGCTCACAGCTTCTGCAGGTTGAGGAGCGCAGACACCTCGCCCACCAGAGGGGCATCCAGGGCGTTGCGCGCCAGCTGGCTGCAGGGAAGTTATGGGCGGGGGACAGGGGGTACAGGGGGGATAGGGGGGATGTGGGGGAAAAAGGGGGTAGGGGAGGGGGGTTGGTGGGGGTTGCGGAAGACGCAGGGACCGTCCTGCGTCTAGCGTCTAGACGCAGCGTCTAGACGCTAGACGCAAGACGCACCTTTAGACGCTAGATGCATGGGGGGAAAATTTTCGGTCAGCCCGGAAAAAAAATTCACGCGCGCGAAATTTCAACCCCTCCCACCCATTTCGACCTTGATAACATCCCCCAAACCTAGCTGTTAGCCCCACCCCCCATAAAAGTATCAGCAGCTAGGACTAAAGTGTTGCACGCCTCTGCTCTACAATGAGCCAGTCAAATAAAGACGTTCTAGAAGAAGCATCGGAGGAGGTGTGAGAGAAATTGAGAAACGGAAAGCTAGGTCGAAATTGGAATTCGTCCCCCGCAGCCAACAGATTTGTGAACCATTTCGTGACCGACCAATTTTCCCTCCCATTACCGATCTTCACCGCACTGAATCTAGGAAACCCAACCAATTTGAGATATGAAATTGTGAGCGTCAATGTTAGATCTAGAAGTTCTAGATCTCGATGAATGTCCCAGCAGCCTAATTCGTCTGCTATACCCAGAGGTCGTCTTCATCCCATTCCCCCTCCCCCTCCCCATGGCCTATAGAAGCTGCCCGTACTATTTTTTTGGCCTGCCCGGGGTTTCGTCTAATATGCGTCTAATCTGGCCTGAAATACGTCTAGCGTCTTAGACGCTGCGTCTAGACGCAACCGTCTAAGACGCTAGACGCGTCTTCCGCAACATAGGGGAGAGGGATGGGCGGGGGAAAGAGGCGGAAGAGGGGGGAAGAGGGGAGAAAAGGTGAGGGTGGTAAGGACCCACGAAACTTCCCTCACTCACACCCGCGCTCATTCAAGTCCCCCTCAATCTCATCCCCCTCACTCTCATCCCCCTCACTCTCATCCCCCTCACTCTCATCCCCCTCACTCTCACCCCCCTCACTCTCATCCCCCTCACTCTCATCCCCCTCACCCTCATCCCCCTCACTCTCATCCCCCTCACTCTCATCCCCCTCACTCTCACCCCCCTCACTCTCATCCCCCTCACTCTCATCTCCCTCACTCTCACCCCCCTCACTCTCACCCCCCTCACTCTCATCCCCCTCACTCTCACCCCCCTCACTCTCACCCCCCTCACTCTCATCCCCCTCACTCTCATCCCCCTCACTCTCATCCCCCTCACTCTCATCCCCCTCACTCTCATCCCCCTCACTCTCATCCCCCTCACCCTCACCCCCCCCCCACTCACATGTCTCTCAACGCAGTGAACTTGGAGATGGCAGCAGTGAACGGACGGCCAGAGATGGAGTTGCCCGACAGATCAACGGCCTGCAGGTGCTCCAGCGCTGTGAGGGAATCCCAGGGGATCGACCCCTTTAAGCCACCTGGCGTCTTCTGATTGGCCCACGATGCATTGATGACTGCTAGAGTGGGATTGGCAATGTTGCTGTGGTTGGTGGCGGAAGGGAGGAAGGGGGGAGAAAGGGACGAGAGGGGAGGGGGGAATGGAGGAAAAGGATGAAGGGAAGAAGGTGGAGTGGAGATCAGTAAATTACGGAATGGAGAAGAGCGGGGAGGGTGGAAAGAATGAAGAAAGGGGAAGGTCGGAGAGGGGTGAGGCGCCTCCCTGCCCAATCCGCCGTCTCTTCCCTTACCGCCTGCACAAGAACGTCCCCATTGCCCCCTCACGGCCTCACATGCTGGAGACGCGCTCTCACATGCTGGAGACGCGCTCTCACATGCTGGAGACGCGCTCTCACATGCTGGAGACGCGCTCTCACAGTGCCCTCAAACGCTCACGGCTTGCTCATCCCCACCGCCCCATCAGTTGCTCACATGCTGGAGACGCGGCCGTGCGAGTCGCAGGAGAGGAACTCCCAGAACGGCACGCACGGCTTGCTCTGCTGCACCGACAGCCCCTGCGACTGATTCACCCACCCCGCCCACCGGAACGCCGCATGCCCGCCCAGCGCTGCCGCCAGCGACAGCAGCGCCGCCTCTGGGGGGCGGCGTTGGGGCAGGGGTGGGATGGGGGGAGAGCGGAGATACGGGGGGAGATGATTGGACGCGCGGAGGCGCAAGGGCGTGCGGTGGGAGGTGCGCTGCTGGGTGGGCGAAGAGCGCCTCCGCCAGGAGGGGCAGGGCGGGCTGTGGGAGGGTGGTTGATCTGTGGGAGGGTGGTTGATCTGTGGGGCAGACTGCGCTCCTCTACGAAGTCGTGCGCGTAGCGCATGGGGCCATGGAAGGGAAGGGCATAGGGGTGTGGAACAGGCGCGTTCTCATCCTTTGTCGGCCGCAGGCGCCATTGTAATAAACCGTTACAGTAACCTTTTGCCAAGTATCCCCGCTACAGTCATACCGCGACGTACTCTCAGCAAGCGCCACGTCATCGGCCGTGGCGAGCCCCGGCAGCGGCTGGATGACGTCAGCACGCACCGTCGCTGGCGGCGGGAGCGACGCGCAGAGCGCGACGAACGACGCGACGGCAACGACTCGTTGAAGCCGCCGCTGGCAATGCCGCCGCTGCTCGTTTCGACAACTCGAAGCATCGTGATGGCAATGGGGCTGAGCGAGTAGCCGCGTAAGATGATCTGGGGGCATGATAACGCCTAGTGCGAGGGTGGCGAACGCGATAGGGAGTAATTCGACGAAAGGAAGTGGTTGGTAGAACAGTAGCATTCGTCGCGGCTGAGGTGAGGGCTGATATTGAGAGAGCAGATGAAGGATGTTGAGGAAGGGGCGACAAGTTTGCTGATGAAATCCGGTTGGCTTCGGTGAGTATTGGTTTCAGTTCGGTTTGGTAAAGTCTTGTCGCAGCACAGATTTGTGCCTTTCTCTTATATTGAAACATCAAGTTTGCAAGTGCGAAATACTGTATATCGTGATCCGGATTTCGACGTTGCAATCCAGAAAACGTGATGCCTTTAATCGCGTACATGTCATCCTTTACCCTCTTCACCCCACCTCCACATTATATTCCTCCTAGTCCTATCCGCGAAACGCCGCCCATTCTTGTCGCTCCACCTTTCACTTTGCCATTTCGACCAGGGCCCAAAATTGGTTTAGGCCTACCCTTACGAATCAGGGTACCAGCCCCTCCATAGGCAGACCCCTAGGGTAAAAAATCTCATACCCTGTTTTCAGCAGGGTAACTCTGCCACTAGCCTGATTCGAGCAGGGTAGTTTTAGGCTAATCCTGGTTTTGTGTCTATTTTGAGAGTTTCCTTGCTTTTGGTGACATATTCAAGTTTTCCTTATACAGTCCTTGAAATCCACGCACGCACCACATGCATGCACAACGAGGGCCAAGCGAGAGACCCCCTCGTAGAGAAGGCGCCTCTGGCAGCCTCGACAGGGCAGTATGTTCCACGGGGCGGGCCCTGTGATGGCCAGCAAGGCAGCACTGAGGCTGCAACTGGATGTCAAGGACAGCTTGAAGCTGTCCTTGACAGCCAATTCTGCTGTGATGGCGGTGGGCGTGGCGAAAACTGACGAGGTGCAATCATTGGTTGCAGCCCTGCGGCAGAAACAACCAATGCGGATTCTTGGCGTGATGCCAAGTACGCAGCAAGTTTCCGTGCGCGTGGGCACGAGCGAGGTATAGTCAGGTTCGCGTTAGAACAGATTCGGTAACAGGGTAGTGTACACCCAACCCTGATTCCGCCAGGGTAAGCTAAAAACCTATCAGGGTAAAAAAAAACATGCACTTTTATGAGAAGGGTAACTATAGCGCAATCCTGATTTCGGCAGGGTAATCCTGAAAAAGGGACAGACCCCCAGGGTAATCAGGGCGTTTTACCCTGATATTTTGGGCCCTGATTTCGACCCTTCAATTTGTCACAAGCCTCCAACTCGCGCCGTCCAGTTTGATAATATCTCCCCATGCCGCCCGCCGCCGCAATCCGCTTCCCCCTTCCGGTCCCGCGCACGCTCGGCGCAGCCTCTCCCCACGCGGCATTTCTTCCCGAGTCAGACTCGCCGAAATCTGATCGCTCGCTCTGCGTTTCCCATTTCGACGTCGCTCTGAAGCCCACTTATCATCCCGCGCCTCATTCTGCCTGCGCCTTGTGCTTTGGCGCGGGAAATCCGAAGCGCGCCAAAGAGCAGCGCGCTCTAAGAAGCGCGCAGAACGACGGAGTGACACTGGGAACACTCCGCGTGAGACCGGAGGATCCGCGCATCCCTCTTGCGTGCGCAGCAGCGGGAGATGAAGGCGGAGCAGCGAAGGCGGAAGTAGTAGGCGCGGCGGGCGGAGCTTCGGAGGCATCCGATGCGCGCGTGGCGCGAGTGATGCGCGTTTTACGGTATCTGCAAAATCGTCTCACCTCAACCTAACCCGAAGTTGACCTAGAAGTCACCTTTGGGTCACGAGCCTTGGTGAGTCGAGAGTCAATGGGTCCATCAAGTTGGGGTCACTTAACATTGACCCCAACCTAACCCGGCAGCCAACCCAAAGGTGACGCGCAGGTCAGTACTGTTCATCCGAGTCGCTCACCGCAATAGAGTGATCCACTACTCGCTATAAAGAATACTACGCTGTACATGCTACACCATTTATAACACGAAACCGTATTTTATTAATATTGATTGCTAAATATTTCTCAGCATTTCAAAATAGGGATTAGAAAATACAAATTATTATTGAGCAATATACAAGCGAATGCAGCGAGTCTACAACAGTACATTACACAATACGCAGCTACGCACATCTACACAGCGAGGCATGGTAAAAATTAAGGTACGGTCACTGGGTGATAGGGAACTTGCATCCCGAACATGACCTGCCACACACCAACAGTAGACATATGGAGGCAATGTTCCAGAAAAAAAAAAAATAGACAAACCATTAACATGGAAAGAACAATACAAACCAGAGTGCTGTACGAACCGTTACTTCCACACCGAAAATGATCTTAGTGTTCGTTCGCCAAATAGGCATAGCAGCTTCTGCACACAAGTCAGAATACAAACATTGTGAAAGAAAACACGTACATACGTAATGTCAGGTTGGGAATGCGAAATAAACGCGAGTAAAAACCATGTTGAAAAAAAATAACATAACGCCACCACATGTTCTGCCAAATCAGGGAAAGGAACGTGAATTCAAAAGGCCTGCTTGTGAAAGAACAAGGAATGAATGAACTAGAAATGAGATGGATACAAATATGAAACCCTAGAGAGTTGTACCCCTTAGTGTCTACCCCACTGTAGCCTACAGTGACTAAGTAATATAAGTCTGACACACCCCCATAGGCAGAGTGGGGGAGAACTAGGGGTCACAAGACCAGTCAAGCAAAGAAAAGCAAGCTCAGGGTGGATCAAAACGTCACCACACATTCCGAGCACAGGTTCAAGGCCAGTTCACATGCAGGAGTATATATAAAGGTAAACAAGCAAGTGCAGGTATATATAGATCACAGTACAAGCAAGGTCAAGAAGTAAGCAAGTGAGGCCAGGTAGGCACAAAACCTAACATCGTACAAAAGCGCTGATGATCACAAGGCTGAAGTGCCTTGGTAAGGATATCAGCAGTGTTGGCCTGAGAGGCCACGTAAGCAAGGCGCAGCTGACCACGCTGCTGCAGCTCACGAGCAAGGAAGTAGCGAAGAGCAATGTGCTTCGTTCTGTGCTCCAGTCTGTGCTCCCGACACAAGGCCAGCATGTGAGAAGAAACAAGGAATGAGAATGACTAAGGGAAAGTTGGGTACAAATGCAAACCCTAGAAAACTGTACCCCATATGTGCTACCCCACTATAGCCTACAGTAGCTCTGTCATATAAATCTGACACACCCCCATAGGCCAAGTGGGGGAGAACAAGGGGTCACAAGACCAGTCAAGCAAAGCAAAGCAAGCTCAGGGTGGATCACAAAGTCACCACACATTCCGAGCACAGGTTAAAGGCCACAAGGCCAGTTCACATGCAGGATTACATATATATATAAGGCTAGACAAGCAAGAGCAGGTGTATATATATATGCAACAGTACAAACAAGGTCAAGGGGTGAGCAAGTGAGGCAAGGTAGGCACAAGGCCCAGCTGAGTACAGAAACGCTGATGATCACAAGGCGCAAGTGCCTTGGTGAAGATATCAGCAGTGTTGGCCTCAGAGGCCACGTACGCAAGCCGCAGCTGACCACGCTGCTGTAGCTCACGAGCAAGGAAGTAGCGGAGAGCAATGTGCTTCGTTCTGTGCTCCAGTCTCTGCTCTCGACACAAGGCCAGCATGGCCTTGTTGTCTACGTACAGCACTGGAGGAGAACGAGGCGTCTCTCCGAGGTCAGTCAGCAGGTAGGTGAGCCAGCGAAGCTCCTGTGCAGCCATGGCCCCGGCGTAGATCTCAGCCTCACAACTGGAGCCGAGAACAGAAGACGAGCGGGTAGCCCGCCACGAAACAGAGCCGGAACCAAGGCTGAAGGTGTAACCCTGTGACGACCGCTGCGTAGCCTGGTCGTCAGCCCAAGAAGCGTCTGCGTGCCCAGTGAGGACCACTGGACTCTGCCCTCCAAGCACAAGCCCCATGCCCGACGTACTGCACAAGTAACGCAACACCCTCTTCGCTGCAGCCATGTGCTCCGGTCTGTGTCTCCCAGGAGCAACATAGCGTGCGAGAATGCTAAGAGGGTATGCGAGGTCAGGTCGTGTGCAGGTCATCAGGTACATGAGGCAGCCAACAAGCTCTGGGTACGGGCCACTCGACTCTACGGACTCATCCGAAGGCAGAGCTGAGAGCGAGTGGCGAGTAGGCAGAGGAGTGGCCTGAGGCGAGGAGTACGTGAAGCCGAAGCGCTGAAGGACCTGCTGCACCATGTGTGACTGAGTCAGGGTAATGGTGCGGCGTGCTCTGTCCCGGGTGATCTGCAAGCCAAGGTAGCTGCGCAGTTCACCCAGGTCTGTGCACGTGTGTCTCTTCTGCAGCTCGGACTTCATGTGGGCGAGTCCAGCAGTGTCAGCTGTGGCAAAGACCAAGTCGTCGACGTACACGAGGATGTAGAACGGCGGCAAAGAAGTGTCGGTGCGCAGAAACAGCGACGGGTCGGCAGTAGAGGGAGCAAACCCAAGAGCCGCAAGTGTAGTCCTCAGTGTGTCGTGCCACTCACGCGGTGCCTGGCGGAGACCGTAGACTGGCCGCCGGAGGCTCCACTGGGTGCCAGGAGGAAAAGACCCAGTGAAGCCAGGTGGGCAGATCTCCTCGTGCAGGCTGCCCTGCAAGAAAGCAGTGCTGAAGTCAAGAGAGTGCAGCTCGTAGTCGCGGTGAGCAGCTATGTGCAGCAGTACCCGAAGAGTGGTCATCTTCGGGGTGGGAGAGAAGGTCTGAAAGTAGTCAACTCCCTGCCGCTGACTGAAGCCACGAGCCACGTAACGCGCCTTGAAGACAGGCGGAGAACCCGGCGGCCGCTTCACCCTGAAAATCCACATGCCACTGACGATGTTCGCCCCAGGCGGGGGAACCTCGTCAACGTAGGTGCCTGTGGACTTCCAGGAAGCCATCTCTGTGTCCATAGCTGCCTGCCACTGAGAGGAGTAGGGACCCTCTATCGCCTCCGCGTAAGAGCGCGGAGTCGGGATGTCAAGTGCATCCGGGTCTCCCTCAGGGGTAAGC